CTCGGCCAGTCGCCATGACATCAGAAGGAGCATCAGCATCTCAAGGTCCCCGACCCAGTCCCTTCCATTACTCCCTTCTCGGCCAACCGGCTCCGAGCGCCAGGACGCTACTGGAGCCCATTGGTCGGAAATCCGGGACCTCCAGCGCTGGCCCGTCCCACTCGCGACCTGCCCTGCGCGACGATCAACGGCTCCGTGGCCGCAGTCAGGGGGCTGGGGTTGGGGCTGGGGCTGGCTATGATGTAGGGGATGATGGGCAGCGTCAGGCCCAGGGCCTGGACCGTAATCAGAGTGAAGCGAAGGAATACTTAGCGTAAGTGGCAGAGGGCTTAGATAGTTAAGCAGGGGGAGCGGAGGGGGTAGGGGCAGGTGCGTCAATAATTGCTGCTGGGCAGGCGCAGGGCACTACTGTCGACACGGCACGGGTGATCAGGCCCTAAAAATATCGCTCGGGAAGGCACAACAGAACTGTAGGGCCCGGACAGGGGCTGCTTAGACCAGCTTCCGAAGGGGGTGCCGTCATCTTCAATACGGAGCCTTGAGGCATATTAACAGGCATGCTTAACGTGAACATCTTTCATTAATACAAAGATCCTTAACTACGCGACATAGCCCGTCCGGCCGCCTTCATCCATGATTAGCCCACCGCTTGCCCTCGCCTTTTAATGCCTGCGTTGTGACGGATGACGGCTTGTCCTCCTTCCCCGCACGTTCCCTCGCCCTCCCGTCGCTCGGTCACCCGCTCCCCTGTTCCCCCGGTCAAGCGACAGTGGCGGTCACAGTGCTCGGTTTTCCCATTACCGGACCCTTCCCCGTCCCCCTCCCCCCGGCTACAGTCCTGCGCCGCCATCTCCGCTGTTCCCAGTTTGCCGGCGGAAAGGTGGGGGCCTCTCGACCCCCTGCTCACCGGTCCTGCAACTTGGGGTAGGCCCGGGGGGGGGGGGCTCCTGTCACCTCCTTGTGTGCCCACGAAGCCAAAGGGGCTTCGACCGGGCAGCGGGCAGCGGGTGGAGGGCAGGAAAGGGGGAAGGGTCGGGCGAGGGGCAAGGGCCTGGGAGGGTGAGACGAGGGGCATGGCATGGCATCCGTAGAGGGGAGACATATGACGGGATTGATCATTGAGCAGAATCCAAGCGAACAGCCCGTATTTACCGCGATGATTTACTAGATCTCCGCGCTCAAGAGTTTACCCTCCCCGCCCCCCTCCCTCGGCGAGCCCAGCCACGTGAGGGTGATAATGTACCAAGGCTATGACTTTCGAACGAATCAGAATGTGTCACATCGTCGTTTTGTCGAGCCCAGCCGCGGGGCTTATAACTGTTTGTCGGTTTTCCCTGAACCAGGCGCTACTCGACGATTTTTTACCCTCCCCTCGGGTCCGAAAATCCCAACGTCACGGCCCTCGTCACAACGCCCCCTCCCTCGCCCGCAGATAAGGAAGGAGCAGCAACGGAAGCGAGCCCCGAAAAGAAACTCCGCGACGCGACTCCATTCCCCCCTTCCCCCTCCCGCACCCGCACCCGCACCCGCTCGCCCAGCCCCAGCCCCAGCCCCCGGCCCCCCTCCCCTCCCCTCCCCGCCACTCCCGTGTCTGACCGGCTCGGGGCCGCTGCGGGGGCTGACGGGCCTGACCGCATGAACCCACCCGAGGGGGGGAGGGCGGAGAGTAAATTAGCAGTGAACTTTCTCTAAGCCGCATCTGGATGACGAGCGCATCGGGACCGTCCTCGTTCCCTCCAGAGCCCGTCCCAAGGCTGTGTGGCCCTCTGGCTCTGCCCCTCCTCCGCTCCCGCCCCGCCTCGCTTAATGGCGCGCTGCATTATTGATGCCGCGTCGCTTCCTTTATCCTCATCTGTCAGAGGCGTTACGATACGCACACCACTTGAACCCCCGTTCCACGCACTCTGCTAACCCGAGTTGACTAACCCCGTCCCCCCCTCCCTCCCTCCCTCTCTCTCTCTCTGTCTGGCCTGGCGACAGGCCCAGGGGGCAGTCATGTGTTGGGATTGATGAACGCGCCCGACAAACTCAGCTGGTCCGCACCGGGGCCAGCGAGCCAGTGAACCTCGGAGCCCCTCAGCGCCCGCTAAACTGGCCGTCCGCGTCCCCAGTTTAGCGCTTGCGTTGTTTAGACACAAGCCCCGGTTTCCAAACAGCCCACAGCTGCCGGCTAAATTTAAAGGCGAGCCACCTCGCCCAGCGACAGTGGGCCAGCGAGGGAGCCAAGCACCCAGCCACTGATTGCTTGATTGCTTGATTATTGTCGATAATGATCCAGAGACGTTATGTTAGAACTTGGTACCCCAAACTTAACACATAATTAATTAGCCTCCCGCCCAGACAGTCTTTTGTTAATTAAGTGTGGGCCGATCGGGTCAGGTCGGGTCGGGTCGGGTCACGATGGGTTCCGGTTAGTTACTCTCCAAGTACTTCGGTCATTCCTCCTCGAGACTCCTCCTTGTTTAGCTCATTGTCTCTAGTGAAGACAGTCGGCGATCCTCACTTGCCTCGAAGTCACGAGCTCTGGGTTGCAGAAATCATGTTTCTCTCCCCAGCTATTTGCGCTCTACGGCGAGGCCTGTTTATGGGCGGTTTGATGTCAAGTCAAGGCAAGTCAAGTCAAGACCTGGGCGTCCGGGGCAAGGGAGGCTCTGCTGATCGCCACTTACACGGACTTCCTCCCTCCCCCTATCTCATTGCTCGCAGTATCGGTCCCCAATTGCTAGCGGCACCGGTAACGTAGTGATGGAAGCTCATGTGTGTGACCTCTGCACGCTTCTGGGGGAAAATCACCGGATCGTATTCTATGTTCATATGTTCATGCTTGGTACGTCGGATCGGATCAAAACATGGGTCGTCTATCTATATTCGCATGCATTTTGCATTTCCTTGCGGCCAGGGAGTCTGAGGACCGAAGGAGGAGAGAACAAGTAGGGGAGAGATTCTGCCTCCCTCGCAGCAACTGGACACGTCACCTGCAAATGAGCGTCAAACCTCAAAACGCCTAGAGCTTCGTACTGACTTGGCCCTTGTCGTATGTGTTCGAGCTTCAGCTTTTCTGCTCATTTTCTTAATGCCTTTGTTTATTATGCCTCCTTCGATCCATGTTTCAGCATATGTGACGAACGGAGGTCGTGCTCATGTCAACTTGCCAACCTTGTCCAAGTCTCACTCGAATACCAACATTGACGGACTCTCGGAAGTTGCTGATTTATAATTCTGGCCCCATTATTATAGTCGTTGTAGTCAATCAACAAACTTCCTGAAAAATTGTCACAAGCGTCTAGACACTCCAACTTGGCATATCAAACATTCCGGGGCGCTCGACTGGCATACTACTTTTACTGTGGTCGTAAACATTCTGGGACGGTAAACATTCCGTTGCGGATTTTCCCTTCCAGGTGCGAAGAGGTCAAATAAGCAACATCGAGAGAAGATACTGTCTTTTCTCTTTTGGTGAGTACAAAATCGAAAGAGAGCAGGACAGGATTTGTTACTCGAGGAAGAAGAAAAGCGTTGCAGGCTCCAGGGCTATCGATTTGTGTATCCACTTTCAGCAAAGATGGTACCTGCAAGCGTACGGCAGTTTCTGATCAGATCTCCAATCACCGACATTCATGTGAAGTCGAGACTTGAGGCTCGAGCAGCTTCTGCATGAGACGATAAGTTAAGTGGGGAGGATTAGGCCCCCTCTCTGGGAGAGGGAGGGAGTTTGCAGATTACTCCGGGGGGTGGGGCATGTGGCGTAATGAAATGACCCCAAATCGTGTAGGTCGAAGATGACTTTTGTGGCATGCGCGTCGGATGTTGTTACTTGAGCCCGGCATATTGTATGCGTTTCAGATGGCATGCGTGTGAGATGCACCACTGACTAGACAACATATGTCAACCAGTCCTGCAGTTCGTGTCGAGACATGAGTCTCTCTGCGGTATGATTGCAGACACTTTTCCTTATTTGGGGACGAGTTTAATCCCGGGCTAGATCACATACCCGGGGCAGTGAGTTGTTTGTTAGAAGACTAGATTCTGCAATATCTTGTTGTCAGGTGAATTTTCACAAGATTTGCGTTTTGGACACACCTGAGGAAGATACAACACCTTTTTGGGAATATCACTCCCGAGAGCACATTTTCAGAATAGTCTACAACAGGCCTCGTGGTGTGGGAGACTTAAATTCTGTCGAGGGTTCGAGAATCTCTCTCCGGGCGAGAAAGGTTTTTGGAAATAAGTCCGTTATTTTATTTCCTTCCTGCCTTCCTTCCTTGGCTCGCTGCGCAGCGAGAGGAAGGAACTGTGCGCTGCTTGATTAAAGTTTGACTTCGGACCTTAACTTCTTCCTCTTCTGCTTCTCCTTCTTGTACTTCAAGCTATGGGGTTTCTCCGACCCACTAGGTTCGATCATCTTCACGTCATGAGCGTCTCAGATGCGAAGAGATCAGCTTTCACGACTCGTCTTTCTCGCCATTATATCTCGGACATCAAGCCCCTCAAACGTGGGTCTTGCAAGGGATCAGCAGCAGGGATCCGAGACAAAAGCTGCAATGGTGAAATTCCCGGTCCGACTTCCCAACAAAACGCGGTGGACTCGTAGCTCGCTCGCTCGCTAGCTAGCTAGCTCGACCGGATGCCTGCTGCTCGATCCCCAAGCAGAAAGAAATAGTATGAATAATATGAATAAGAAGAAGAAGAAGAAGAGGAAGAGAAGATTTGAAATAGTTGAAGTGCTTGGGAGCGAGCAATGTTTTGAGAATAAATCTTGCCCCGCGCTGACTCTACAAGCAAAAGCTTCTTGATGAAGGTGCCCCCGGATTCCATCACACAGGAACTTGTTTCTTGTTCTCTCCGTGATCACCGTACTTGTAGCGCCTTCACCAGTTTGTTGGTCACATGTAATAATAAGTTAATGGCCCAAATGCGGATCACCTTCTGATCTCGCTCGTCAATCGCTACAGGATGCTTCTGGCGGGCGTATTAAACTCCGGAATGATGCAAGATCGCGTATGGAGGAAGGGCAGTACCACCAAATGAGCTCAAGCTCCATCCATCGCAGACCCCCCTGTGTTGGGACGGGCGGCGAGAGCGGAGGTCCACGGCAACTTCGCAATGACGAAGGCATTGTTCATGCACCATCGAAAGTCGAGCATGTGCAAGAATTTGGTAGTGCTCTTTCCTCCTCTTTCGAATATAATCACCGTTTCAATTCGAACTGTTGGACAGATGAACTAAGTTTGGGGAAGTGTGAAGGGAACAGTGGCGACTACCGGTAAGGCTACAGGTCGCCTCTCTCGTCCGCTCCTCTCGTCGCATCTCCTGATGCGCTTCAAGCCCCTCCCTTAAATCTATCTGCTGCCATCCGCGCAAACGTGCGTCCACTTAAATGCGTCTCGACTAACTAAGACAGCGATCGAGCATCGCCGAGCAACCACACCACCTCCTCCATCATCATCATCATCAGCAGCAGCAGCAGCAGCCACAGATACAGCAGAAGATACAGCAGCAGAATCGCAGCGACGACACCGGCATTAGGAGGAGGAGGAGGAGGAGGCCGAGAGGTCCATCATTAGGCAACGTCAATGCAAGGCAAGGCGTAGCCCGGCCAAAGCCAGGGCCGCAGAGCCAAAGGGACGGAGAGAAAATGACAAGCGCGCCTGCCATCTTTAGCGAGAGCGCGGAGGGAGGGAGGGAGGGAGGCGGGCAAAAGCGGGGGGCGGTAAATTGGGAGCACCCATCAAGACCCCACCGGTTCGCTCTGCAGGGCGAGCGCGCAACTCGTCTGGCACCCACCACGGGATATGCCCTATCGTCACCGATTGTAACACCCAGCCAACAGTAGCCCCCAGTAGCTTTTGGGGTTATTTATAAAGGGAAATCAGGCTTTGGGCGCCGGTAACGGGGGGACCACTGAGTAAACATGGTGGGGCGAATTCTAATAAAATGTGCGCGAGTGGGTTTCAGCAGGCGACACGTTGACCTGGGTGAAAAAAGAGGCAAGCTTGTAATATCTGGGAGCCAAGTGTAATAAACACATGGTGCAACTGGCAGTTCCCCCGGGCCCTAGCAGTTAAAATCAGCTGAAAGATGCGGCAATCGCACAGTGGATGAGTGAAACCCGCATGTCATGTGATGCCATGCGATGCGATGCAATGCGATGTGTCGGATGATGTGATGATGAGATGATGCTCGGGGCTCGCCTCCCTTCCTCCCTCGCCTCCCCTCCCCTGCCTGCCTGCCTGCCCAGATGGAGATGAGATGGGGTAATGCGATAATGCGATGATGCTATGATGCGATGATGTGATGTGTCCATGGCCTGGGCTTGGGCTTGGGCTTGGGCCTGGGCCTGCAGCTGCCACTGCCACCACTGCTGCCCCCTTCCTTCTTCTTCCTTCTTCCTCTTCTTCTTCTTCGCTCTGCTTTGCTGCTTTGCTGCCTGCCTGCCTGCCTCCCTGCTAACGGTCCCGTAATTTGCAACGGTCTTTCCACCACCACCCACCCCAATTTCCGAGACAGACAAGGCACAGTGAAAAAGTTTTGCTTGCCGAAAAAACTTTATCGGGCCCAAGGGAAGCCCAGAGTCTCTCTCCCTTTGGGCCTGCCTGGCCTAGTCCTAGTCCTACTGCTTCTACTTCCCCCACTTCTGCTTCTGGTGGTACTACTACTACTACTACTACTCCTCCCCTCTGCTGCAGCTGCTCCTGCTGGGCTATGGTACTACTAGCTTAGCTCTACCGTACCTGCATAGACAGCATGTAGGGAGGCGCTTTTGCGCTGCTGCAGCTGACCTGACTCACTTCCCTCACTAGACTCGCTGCCTTTCGCTTCTTCCTTTCTTCTCTCTTGTGCGGCAATTGAATTTGGAGGGAGTACTGTGACTGTGTGTGTGGGGGGTGTGCTCTGACCCAGCCCCACCTCGGGGCTACCTGCAGCAGGTCTGGTGAGAAAAGACTCGCGTAGGCACGGGGGTGGGCCTTCTAAATTTAGGTTCGGGAGTCGAGTGCGCGAGCCAGGCGAAGATCTGGAGTGCCAGAGTGCGGGACCATCGCCACTCCGAGCCTTTTCTTATCCGCATGCTGGACGCTGCAAAAGGAAGTGGGTTCGGCCTCTGCTTTGGCCTGCTTTGCTTTGCCCGGCTCGGAGGGCCTGCCTTTGCTTTTTCGTTGTCGTCATGAGTCGACTTGTTCTGCTCGTCTAGCCAAAAGCAAAGCCCAGAGTTGCCACTCCAGCTTTCGGACTTACTCCCCTCCCTCCCTCCTCGCCTCACTCGCTCCTCCGCCTTCGGCCTTCGTTCGTGTGCCTGCGCTGCCCTGAGCCTCCTTTGTCTGTCCCTCCCTGCCTGGCTGCTGCATACTTACTTACATGCTCGCACCTTCTGAACACCAGATGATAGATAGCACACCAGCCCACCTCCTCCTTATGTCGTCTACTACTCCTACTACTACTAGTCCTACCACTACCACTACTGTGCAGCAGCAGCAGTAGAAACCTGCTCGAGTCGAGTCTGGAAGATGTCTGTCTGTCTGTCTGTGAGCGCCTTCTCCCCCGTCCCTCGTCATTTGATTCACCGATTCCCGAATCCCTCGACACAGACTTAAAATTTCAGTCGGTTACGGTCGGAGCAAAAGGACTGATGCTGCTGCTGCCGAGGGCGGAGCTCGAGGAGTTGGTACAGACGAAGGATTCTCCACTCGCAAACTTTCGTTCGCGCCGCTACGTGGAGGATGATGAGCACTTCATATTTCCATGATTCAGTGCTCTCGTGCACTAGCTAGCGTCGTAGCGAGTATCACAATCATCACTCTCGGGCGTTGCAAGGCACGAGCCCGGCGGAGGGGAGGTCAGGCCTGAGGTGGGAAGACGAGGACCAGTGCGAGGCTGTGTAAGTCCGAGGGCGAGAGTGCGAGAGAGAGGCTCCGGTCGCTCATTCGGTCGGGCGACGTTGCAGGCACCGATGGTGCGCAAGAGGCAGGAGGCAAAAATGTGCGATCACTACCGGCCGCTGGACCACGAGACGCGCCCTATGAATGGGACATTTTCCTGGCTGTTCAGTGCTCTGGGGGCGCCAGCACCAGCCCCGCCAGCCACCCGAGCCGCAGCTCATTGCGTCGCCTGCTGAACGTGCACAATTTCTCGCTCCCTCGGATTCCGTATGCGGCTATCGACCTTGTGTTTGCGCTCGTTCAGGCCAGGCCAGGGCAGGAATCAAAGCGCAAGCTGGCAGACGATGGGGATGCAAGCTCCGGACGAGTGAGCGAGCGACTCAGTGCTGAAGAAGAGAAGAGGGGAAGAACGAGACCGAGACCGACGAGGAGGAAGAAGAAGCAGCAGCAGCAGCTAGAGATTGGAGACATGTGCCTTTCTCACAGCGGTGGGAAAGGAGCAAGTAAGAGAATGCGCATTTCCTACGATCTACAGACGTCCGCAGTGGCCCCGTCCAACGCCGAAGCGCTTCTGTACCACAGCCCTTACGAATTCGAAAACGACAGCAGACCCACTCTGAGCTTGGCTGCGGGATCGGTCACGTATTCGTATGATACCGTCGACGGGGAGCGAAACTCGAATAGCGGATCAATTTTAGTCGAAAATCAGATGTGCGCCGGAGACAGAAGCGACGACGTGACTGCAATTTCCTTCCCGGGGCTCGGCCTAGGAAGCGAGATGATTCAGAGCGCCTGGCGAGTGCAATCCGTGGAGAGCTGCTCTCGGGGCTACTCCAATAGCGCTGGAGGCGGTGGAGCAGGAGCAGCTGGTGGCGGAGGGGCAGGCGGAGGCGGAGCTGATTTGAATCTCATGCGCGATGAAGAAGATGAGATGGGCGAGCAAGGCATGAGCTTAGATGACATGAAGGACTCGGCCACCAACGAGGACGGGACGGAGAATTCCGTGGGCAAATTGGAGATGGATCTGAGTAGTGGCCAGTCGAAACTTTGCCCCCGCGGCCACTGGCGGCCCGCCGAGGACGAGAAGCTGCGCGAACTCGTCTCGCAATACGGGCCCCAAAACTGGAACCTGATTGCCGAGAAGCTCCAAGGGCGATCAGGTGCACTATCTCCGCCCTCGCTCGTCCCTCCCGATCTCCCGTTGCCTTTAATTTCTCTCTTCACCACAATTGTCCTCTCGAGCTCCACCGCCCGCTTTTGAGCAATTGCGTCCCACGACAGTTCACGTCGCTAGATGTTGTCTCCCCCGCCCCTGCCCCCTAGTTGCTTTCTAGTAAGTCGTCATTCATCAATTCGAGCATAGAATCTGCTACCTATCTGATTTCTCAATCTCTCGACCTCTGTCGTTCGCGTCGAGGTTCAGATTTGGAGGTCGGTCGTTTGTGGGGGAGGTCTGATTGTGGGGCTTGGATATGCAGGAAAGAGCTGCAGGCTGCGGTGGTTCAACCAGCTCGATCCGAGGATTAATCGGAGGCCTTTTAGCGAAGAGGAGGAGGAGAAGCTCCTGGCGGCACATCGGTTCCATGGAAACAAGTGGGCAATGATCGCGAGGCTGTTTCCGGGGAGGACAGATAACGCCGTGAAGAACCACTGGCACGTGGTGATGGCGAGGAAGTACCGCGAGCGATCGCGGGCCTTCGGGAGGCGGAGCAAGTCGCAGCTGTCGAGGCGGGGGGGCAAGCGGGGGAGCACAGGTGGGACGACGACGAGCAGCGGCTTGAATGCGTCGCATCACGGGCCCGCCGATTCGCTCACGGCCTGGATTGAGAAGTACTCCATAGCGCCGTCGGAGGTCGACTCCATCAGCCCGAGCTCGCACTACGGCGGCGGCTCCCAGAGCCTCAAAAGCCTCACCAATGGCCACTACCAGTCGTCGTCCGACCTCCTCCGCGAGGAGGACGAGTGCGAGGGCCCCTCGGGCTTCTCGGCCCGAGGCCGCGATCGCTCCATGGATCCGCGCGACGATTCCCCGCGCTCCAACTCGTCCAAGATCACCATCCCCCGCCTCTCGTTCGCCTCCTCGGACAAGGACGACGCCCCGCAGCAGCAGCGCAATTTCATCCACTCCTACGCCAACAGCGCCAAGCCCCCCGCCGCCGCAGCAGCAGCAGCGTCTGCATCTACTCTCTTGCATTCTTCCCCCAGAGCTCTGGTGGATTCCAAGCCCATCGCCCACCCCTTCGCAGGTAATTTGCTCATCCCCCATCCCAATCTGCCTCACCTTGCATCGACATTTATTGGCATTTCTGTTCGCTCATGCAATCCTCTTCGACCCTCGTCCAAAATTTGCACCATTCTTTCGGCCATTTATTTCGTTGAGTTATATCCGATGTCTCCTCGCCATTGGGTGCAACAATCGAGCTCGGGCCCGAATGATGGATTTAATTACGACGCGATGTATTCATGTGTGAGTGTGCTTATTGTTGGGCGCAGGTAATGTGCGACAGCTTGGGCAGCAGCAGACACCGTCGGGTGGGTTGCTCCAGAGTCCGAGGCGAGGAGGTGCTGCTTCGTCTGCGGTAGGAGGAGGAGGCGGAGGGGAGATGGACAACTCGTCCGGATCTCCACCGTCGTCGTCAGCGAATGCGGAGTTTCTGAATCGAGCCGCCGAAGCGCTGGCCGAGAGCAAGGGGGCGTTTGTGGGGCTGAAGACTTCTGAGCAGGGTGGACTTTTTCATTCTGCAATGGCGACTCCGCACTGGCTAATTCCCTCGCTTCCCGTGGCCACCATGGCCCAGCCGCCGCCGCAGCAGCAGCAAGTGCCTGTCGCTGTTATGGAGGAGATTGAGCGCAGCATCGCCAGCAGGTCCTTGAGAAATTCATGCCGATCAGAACTTCAACGACAGCAGCAGCAGCAACAATACCATCCCCCTCCTCACCACCACCACCAACATCAGCAGCAGCAGCAGCAACATCATCATCATCAACATCATCAACATCATCAGCAGCAGCAGCAGCAGCAAGCTCCGCTGAGCTCGTCATCTTCTTTCGTGAACGAGAATAATCCGAACCTGGGCAGAAGCCTGTTTCTGCCCAACGGAGTTCTGAGTGCTCAGCAGCAACACCACCACCATCATCCACAAGAGCAACAATCAGGGAGTTCGACAAATCACCATCATCACGGCGGCTACTGGAGAAGGGAAGGCATTGACGGCGTCGTGCCAGCATCGGGCGGGGGAGGGGCTGGAGCTCCGCCTGTGCTGTCGACGGGGCTGTGCGAAAACGTCGCTCTGTGCGGGGCAATCCAGCACCTGCGCGAGAGCCTGTGCAAGGAGAAGCCGAGTTCGGCATCTTCCAGGGCCAGCAATGATCACATTGCGCTGCAAGAAGCAGAATCCGAACCCGCACCACCCATTCAGTTCATTGATTTCTTGGGCGTGGGAGTGGCTTAGGCCCTACCACCACCCCTCGGGGCCTGGCTACGCCCTCCCTCTGAAGCTAGCCTCGCCGACGACGACGAAGACGAAGAAGACTGATGATGATGATGATTCAATGTAGAGAGCGTGCTTGCCACTGTTTAATGCTATGCTGCTGCCGCTGCTGCATTACGAGCATGGATCGTGGTCTCGAACTCGCGAAGATACGAGTCAGAGAATTTTATGATAGTGCTTTCAGCCACTGTTGTAGATGTGGACGAAAGCTCCCAGGGAGATGGAGAGAGAAAGAGTCTGAGAGAGGGAGAGAGAAAGAGAGAGGGAGAGAGAGAGGAGAGAGTTCGAGGAGAGTCTATCGATCTAGGCAAGCTTCAAATTGAGTTCCAGGACTCTGACCCAGAACACGCACGAGGTCAAAGCATCGTCGTTATCTGGGGCGTCAGCAATGGAACGGATCGAGCGAGCGAGCGAGCAAAATTAGGGCCTGTCGATGCTGCATGGACTTTTTCGACCAACTCTGCTGTGCCCAATATCAGCAGCCACCACCACCATCATCATCATCACCATGATCATCCCCGAGAACCAAACCAACCTGTGAATTTTAACTTTCAATTGTACATTCAGTAGACTAGCTTTAGGACCGACTAGCGCGGCTCAGTAGTAGTAGCTCACGAAGCATAGACTTCTTTCAGTTGAGCAGTTCGTTTGGCTGGAGTCATTGTAAGACGACGACCACTACCTTTTCCAACCTTCCTTCCCCCATGAGAATTTTACGAGATTAAAACAATCGACCAAATCCGCAGAGAGAAAGAGAGGGATTCGATACCCTGACAGCTCTAGTGGTTGTTTGTTGGCAGCAACCGCTCAGAGAAAACAAAAGGCTGTTGTAGAAAATTTGGCTGTAGTACTAGAAGACTGAAGACGACGACGACGACGACGAAGACGAAGAAGAAGAAGGCCTTTGAACAATAAGTTATGCTGCCTAAATTATGGAAGTGCTCCAATAGGCGAAAGGAAACGGTGGGGTCAGATGATTCCCTTATACGAGACTAGCTGCTCGGCAACTGCGAGGCATTAAACTCCATGACTAGCGAGCATACCGAACATTTTTGATGAATCTTCATACCAGCAGCTCTGCTCGAATCTAATAATCATTCTTGCTTCTCAGGCTACCGCTTGCACACTCTCGTCCGTCCCTCCCGATTCTCTCTCTCTCTCTCCTCTGCTTGAACTGCCGCATTTATTCATCCCTCGTTGTATGTATTATTTGCTTCTGTGGCCCCGTGCACAGCACCTCCATGAGGCTTCAGCTCCCTATCTCGTAAATCTATGGCCCCGATCTTAAATCCCGTAACAGTAACCTCGACGCATTGCGTTATTGTGTGGCCATGCAAGTCAGTGACTGACCATATTTAATACACGTGATCCCTTTCCGCTGCGCGTCATTCACGAACGCACCAGCGGCCCGGGGCCCTGTGAGGCCTACAGATCAAAAGGCTCCTCTTGTCCCCCGCAGTAAATGTAAGCAGCCCATGCGATACTGTGCAGCGTCGTAAGGTCAGCAGCGAGCGGGAGGAGAATTGACTGCAACAGCAACGACCTGAGCTGTCTTAGAATCTACTTCACTCGGCTCCCATCCCTGCCTCCCCCTGCCGAGGTCAATGCTCGACTGTTGCAATTCACGCTGCTGATCCAAATCCCACCCACAAGCCACCCGTGTTATTTCCCGCTTTGTTACGCTGGTCGACTCGCACGAGGTTATCCCAGCTTCGGCTTCTCAGCGCAACCCAAAACCCGCACGATTCAGACAGATCTATCTGAATCACTGTTCAGATCCGCTGTCACCATAGTTTCTCGCCATGGCTTTCTACAGCTGCGTTGTAGATTGGAATTTAGGCTGGTCAAGTTCCGGATGTGCATGAAAATACTAAAAGGGGTCCTTGTCTCGCATGGACTCCTGCAAATCTTGCAAGCGATGGCGTTGAGGAGTTTCATCACCTTCGACCTTCGTTCCACAACGCTGCTCCGCACTGACGGGGGCGTGGGCGTGGTTGAAGCCTCGAAGCCTGATGTGCGGGAGAAAGCCTCCAGGATGTTACTCAGCTGCACTCTTCAGCCAGTCTTCGATCACGGGCCTCTGTAGCCAGCTTGAATTGACAGTAGTGATCAGACAACGAAACTACTGAGATTTTGGGTTTGGATTTGTATAAGCTGCAGAGCAGAATCCATGGATGATTGACGGAGTTTCTGGAACCAGTTTTCTCGCCGCTCAGGGATTCCCGATACTCGGTTTTCTACACCAGGGCTCACTTGTATTTCATCGGCAAAGGTCTGATTGCCACTCCAGATTCCAACATTCGCTGCTGTCAATCAGGACCCTGGCGAAGTTCTCACTGTAACCTCATCTACACATACACACAGACCGGCCCATTGCTTCCTATACCTGCTGTACGTGCTCACCCACGCATGGCGAGTGAGGGGTGGGGTGGGGGAGCAGGAGACAGACACAGCTCGAAGAAGGCAAGCAATCATGAGCGGAATCATGTTCGTTTGCAAACAAGTGCAAGAAAACGTCAAGGAACTTGTCAACGATGTTCAATGCAGCTACCCGGAGCACAGCATTGAACGTCAGGATCGCGTCTCCATGCGAAGCTCGTCGGTAGGACGAGTCGACAGTCTAGAGAATCAGATGCTGTGAGCGCCTGTCTTCTGGAAGACTTCAGCGTTCAACGGCGCCTGTCATCGCGGCAATTCAACGAGTCCCACCTATTAAAGCCCCCCTTGACAGAGCAGATACCGCGATCATGATCGACGGCGCCCCTGGACTACGAGTCTCGCCGCTTTGCATCCATGGTCCCGCACAGCATCTTCACCCTTAAATGTGATGCGGTGCTTCATCTCCGCCCTTGAAGGTGTTCAACTTTGGCATCACGAGGTTTGAATGGGATTTTGGCCGCATCCGACGCCATGGAACTAACCCAGCGATTGACTGTACCCGATTTCCACCGTACGAGTTTTCTATTGATTGTTGCGTTGCAGCCATTGGCCCCATATTCTCCCGGCCCCGGATTTACCTACTCGTCGTGTCCCTCGTACCCCGAGAATTCTCCAGAGTTTGAAGCATGATCTTCATCCCTGCTCGATCGCTTTTCTTCTGATGGGATGTTTCCATACCAGCGGCTCTCTTCGATTGTGAAGCAATAACAGGCTGCAGGGTTCGTTTGAGTATTTTCGTTAGATGTTGTTTTTAGTTCGTTGAATATATTCGTCGAATTCCATGAGCAGAAGTCAAAGCATTGCAAGCTTGTTTGGCTTACAGCACTCGCCTTGTTATGAAGAATTTGGGATACGCAAAAATCATGTCAATCGGTATGTAACATGCTACAACATATACTACATCTCAACTATTTTGAGCAGATACTTGCAATTATGGTTTCCCATTCGATTTATCAAGACTATTGGATGCTGAAGATTTATCGCATACATATAGATGATGAATCGAAATCGACGATCAATTACAATGCGTTTCTCATATTTACTGTTGAAGGGTGTAGTGAAATCGAAGAAGTACATTTACAAAATGTGGAATTGAAACTATGGGAGATATAAAAATCAGATTTTAATTGTAATTTTAATTTAAAAAAACAACGTTTAATTTTTAGACTGTAATTGCCGTATGAGCTCGCGTGGCCTAATGGATAAGGCATCTGACTTCTAATCAGGGGATTGTGGGTTCGAGTCCCACCGTGAGTGCTTTTTCTTTTCCTTCGGTTTATATATTTCATGCAATTTTTTTTGTATGATGTACATGATTTTGAAAAATCTCTATTTAAATGTATCTGCTTAGAAATAATGCATGAATTGATTGAAAATGATGCTATATGATCAAAGTTTAATTTTTACCCAAAACAATTTACAAACTTGAAAACTATAAATCAAAATAAAATGCTAATTTTAATAATTAAACAGAATAAAAAAACAAAAATTCATAAAATAATGAAATTCAAAAATAAAATGTACACATCTTGAATTGTCATTTAAAAAACATTAAATATTATGATTTTTTCATTTTGTACCTTAAATCAAATGTAAGCAATATTTGATTTAATACTTTTAATTATAATAAATCAAAAAAAAATTTCATTTTAAAAGCATGTAATCTACAAACAAATTTAGTAATTTAGTTTTTTAATTTAACTGGTTATATTTTTATTCCATTTTGTAGATCAAGTTCACGTTATATATAATCGAGAAGTTAAAATTCTAGTCTTATCAACTAGAACTCATCTAAATTAAAGTAATCAAGATGTAAAATATTTGTAACAATCTTGATTTTAATTCATGATTTAAAGTTTAATCTTTATTTTTTATATTATTACTTTGCAAAAGATTTTGAAAGCATATTTATCATGTGTTTCTTTATCAACTTCAATTCTTTAAATATTAATCAATGCCAAAGAATTGATATAATAAATCATATAAAAATAAAACGTACAGGCTGATTCATTCTTCTTAAAATACATGCGGATCTTTGAATATGACACAATGTTTAGAAGAATCTCAAAAACATCAATTTGATAAAAGTATCAGAAGAATCAAAATAATGAACCATTTGAAAAAAAAAAGTTGAATATTTTAATTTTTAATATTTTACTTATAAATATGGCTGATGTCTATATTAATTTTTTATTTCATAATATAAAATGTACAAAGAAATAAGAATTCTATGCAAGCATTCAATCAATTTCTTGTAAATAAACAATGTGACGATTAACGTTAAAATGACACAGAATATGATTAAAAGTTTAGGTTCATTTAATTGTCATTATCAATCAAAATCTTAATCGATATAGGTAAGTTTTCATTTATTAGCAACAAAATTAGAATATATGAAAATCAAGTTTTAATCTGAATCACTTCGCCTTTACTTTCAACTATCTAAATATAATCATGATTTATTGTCAATATTGAATTTTTTAACACACTTCATCAAACACAATTTGTCTACACATATTATAAGTAATATCAATTTGATCTATTTTTCTATTTATTGTCTAATTTAGAGCTAAATATGAAGCATTCTAACTATCATTGTGAAGTATCACAATGTCATGTGTTAATCTCATACATCTTGTCGGTTCAACTTTTCTACTTCATTCCTTGTCATGCTGCTACAAATTTAGTTTTGGTATTGAATTGCATTACATAATTCTATTTAAACATTCCATTTACCATTTACATAATTCTATGATATGGATTTCTAATTTGTGCATCTAGCATTTTTTCTAAGTACATGTTTTTTTAATATAATATATATATAACATATGTATAATCAATTAAATTAACAATTTAATACAAAATCAAAATATAGTCGGTATTCAAAATATATTAAAAATATTTGAACTAGAGTTCCATTTCATATATTTTTATCTAGTATGTGTATGCAAATAATTTACATAAATAACCAATTTCAAACCTAGTGTAAATTATTTAAACATGAAATTTCTAATTATCTTGTCATAATATATCTTGAACATCAAATCACATCATCTATGTAACGAAATATTGATGAGAGTTTAAAACTAAAAAACCAAAATAGTATCAAAGAATTATAGACATTCATAAAACTTGATTTACTTTATTATGACTCCTCATTTTCAAATTTTTCCGAATTTTTATTTCAAATTTTTTCAAATTATTAATATAGTTTCTATCTTGCTTTAAAATGGAAAAATTTGAGTTTATCAACATAAGAATTGACTTAAACTCCAATAAACATATGAAATGTGTAGATTATTAGAATACTATATCAACAACTTCAATTCTTAACTTTTTTGAAACACTATGGTTTAATCTTTGTCATATTGTGAATTCATCATGTACTTATTTTTTATATATTAAGGACTTATTTCTACTTAAACATTAATGTTTACAATCTAGAAACCATATTTGTTTCAACAAAATTTATTAACTACCTCATGAAGGTATTGTTTGCATATCATTTCAATCAATTTATAACATCAAATCAAATTAGTTTGTGTCTTGAGCAATGTTTCAAAATCATTAATTTGAAACATATTTTTTACATGAAATTATCAATTTTTTTATTGTATTGCTCATGTAAATTTGGCAGTCTTCTAACTTGCTTTTATGTTGTATTCTATCACACA